CTTGTTATCGCCTGACCTACACCCACTCGCTTGCGAAGTCCGCTGCGTCTCTAAGTAGGCCTTGGGGTCTTGGGATTTTTGCTCGGCACGGCCCAGACATGCTTTTTTTGCAAGTTTGCTGAACATGTTGCTGACCCGGAATCTTAAGATCTGCATTACAACAAACCGAACAGCGCGGGGCCCGACTTTCGAGAAGTCCCTACATAGCTCCAAATCTCGGTAAGCGGCTTCAGAGCCCTGAAACCCCCAAGTAGATTGAATGAAGCAAAGCATCCCTTAGATGTCAGTGTCCTTGGGGGTCTGGGTTTTTTGAATATCTGGCTTACGACTTTTGTCAGTTTCCACCTTTTCCATTTGGTCCGAGGCCATGGACGTGTGGAACTGTGCCAGCTGCCAAGGGTGTCTTGGGCCTTGTCGCTTGGAGGAAAGCAAGAAAAGATAGGGGTGTCAAAAATTAAAAAGCTACTGTAGATTCTTGCTTGGGGCTCAGGGTTTCTCATTGGAGTAGGGGCTTTTGTTTCCACCGAGCATGGGATAGCTTCTCCGGGCCGACATCTCAGACAAGTCTGCGCTTCCAACTCTCGGTCGGCCTCTGGAGCCTCAGCCTAGTCTCGCGAGATTTATCTAAGGCTCTAAACCCTAAAATTTGCAATCCAGAAGACGTGAGCCGTAAGCAAGAAGTTCAGAGGTCTCTTGGCCTGGCACAAACCTGAAAATCTTGTCTCCAGAGGCCCCACACATCCTCGGCTGAGGTTTAAGGTTACAGGCTAAGGCACACGGTTGAGGCTCCCTCAAGGCATTTGGGGTGGATAGGGGTTAACCTACTTGTTACTCGATCACTAAGTCCCCTGGGCCTCTCAGCAGCTCAGTAGTTCTCCCAACCCCCCACAGACAAGACAAGTGGTGCGTATGAAGATCCTTACGCTGAGGACCCCAAACTGCCAAAGTGGCGCCCCCGCCCAAACACCCGAGTACCTTATCCCAAAATCTCATACACCCTCAAGACTAAACCGCTGAGGCCGAGACGCTTCAACCCGTAGCTACCCCAACAAGAGCAGCAAGGAAGGCCCCAGAACCCATAAGCCCTGGTCATGATCCTTCGGACATCAAGGTAAGCGAGCCGTGCCGACCTTTTGCTGTTGACGGTTTCAAGCTGGGCCTCCGTGTGTGCAGGGCACGATCGGGCTAAGTGCAATTCTGTACATATGCGATTTGTGCGTGTGTGAGTATATTGCATATACATATAATGTATGACGCACAGTTTCCATGTTGGCACATATGTATAGAGAGAGAAAGGAGAATCTCCGAGCCCCAGGGCTTGAGGACATAGCAAGGGGTGCTGTTCTGTCTGGTGCAGGGAGGCCTGAGTTTATGTTTCGCTCGATTCTGAAGCGCGTGGGCCTTGCAGACTGACCGAGAACTGCATGGGTGCAGGGGTTTAATCTGGATTCGTAGTTTCACTGTCAAACCTCATTGGCTGTGTGAGCCCCGCCACTAACATAGCTATTTCTGGTCTGACGTTGTGCATTTCGATCCTTTTGACCGCAAGACAGGCATGCAAAGGGAACTGAAGGGACTGGAGGAACCGTACAGCTGGCCTTGTGAGTTGCAAGTCCCCACGGCCCACAAACACTTTCGAAGAAAGTGCGTTTTAATCAGGAAGGGCATGCCATGGCCGACGATACCACGTCTGCTGAGCGCAAGAAAGAGCTGTTTTTGCCCTTGCGGGGGAATCTTGGGGCTTTTGCTTGAAGATTCGGGGCTGGGATATTAAAGGTGTACCGACCCTTGCTGATGAGCCGTGAGGCAAGTTCAACCGAAGCCGTGCGTCTCCTGCGGCTCCTACCCCTGATGCTTGTGTTGTGCAGAGCCCCACAGAGAAACTATTGTGATTCAACAGAGAACGGATATGGGACCAGAATCCACGAGGTTGAGCTCAGCAAGTCTGTCTAAAATCAGAGCCGTCGATGCTGCGTTTAGACCCTGGCCGGGTTTCCGGCGTGGAGGTGATCATTAGGAGGCAAAGCAAAGCGTAAGATTCACCCAGCAGTATAATGGTTAACGCTCTCCCTGGGAAGTGAGACTCCAGCCTGCATCCGGATGCAGGTGACATTCAGCGCCGCGATCTCTGCATGCTCAGATCCTGGCTCCTCGTTTGCAGAGAAGCTTGCAGGTTCCAATCGCTAGAACACAAACGCACACGCACACGCATCGCGCATATGTGTATGAAACATATGTGAACATGCATGCATGGTAGGTTGGGTAGGTGGGTGGGTGGGTGGATGGTTGGGTGGTTGGTTCATTGGTTAGTTGTGGTTGGGTGCTTGGGCTTGTTGGGTTGTATTTGGGTTTGGTTTCGTTTGGTTGGTTGCCTGGCTGGCTTGCTGCTTGCCGGCTTGGTTGCTTGCTTGGTTGGTTTGTTTGGTTCGTGAGGTTTCACACGCCTCAACGAAACATTCTTAGGAGTACAGCTCTTTACTAAGATGTTTCGCGCAAAGCTGAATTGAAAGACGCCAAGTTTGCCGACGACAACCCCATATAATTCAACCCAGGAAACGAAGAGACCTGGCCCGTCGAAGTTGTACTGTGGGCACACGGGCCCGAGCGACTAAGGCTCAAATCGTTAAGCCAATCAGTTTGAGCCGGGCTTGGCTTCGGGGAAAGCTTGTTCTGCAGCGGAGGCTTGTGGCACTGGGCCCTCTGCCTCTTCGAGCATAGCCGAGGTGGGAGCCTCTGTTACCGATCGACCTCAACGGCATAAAAAGACACACACACACACAAGGGAATCCTGATTACTGTTGGAGACGACTTTGAAAGATTGTGAAATGTTCGGTCATCCAGCTTCAAGGTTAAATGTCGTTATGTACGTAGAAATTGCTCGAATTTTTCACTGCAATGGACAGGGCGGAATTTCTAAAGGAAAGCCACATTAGGCTCGAAGACATATAGTTGTTGCCAACCTTGCCACTAATTACAAAATGGAGGGGGCTCGTGGATCCCTGGCGTAGAGCTTTCTTCGAGGAACGGCCACTGGAGCCAACACCGTGGTGTACACTGCAACTATGTCAGCCTGTGCCCAGTGCCTCGTCGGCGAGCTGAGACCTTGGACGTTGATCCGAGAGCTCCGGTCAGGAAATAGCACGGGTTCAACTAAGCTTGTCGTGCGTTCTTGCGAGAAGTTGACCCAGACATGTAACTGTCAACTGTTCACTTCCGTTCAAGGCAGTCCCTTTGGCGCCACTCATTGACTCTGGCTTGCGAAATGATTGCAGACCCTTGTCTGCATCAGGAGAAGGTCCACTGCGATACTGGATTGCTTAGATATGTTTAGATTGAAAAGTCTTGAAGCGCAGGATATTAGAGTATAGAGTTTGCAGTGTGCCACTGACGGCGCGCACGAGACTACCAAAAACGCACTTGGAGTTGAACAGCTATCCCTAGATTCTGCCTGTCAGGTTCGACATTCCTTTGTCGATTGTATTTGGGAACAGAAAGTAACCCTTATTTGCGTTTGGCTTCAGCCTGGAAAAAGTCCTTGCTTGGCCGAGGATGGATTGCCACTGGATACCAGCGCATACAACTCCCTTATCACAGCGTTCACTGCAGGCCGGGAGGGCAAATTCTAAACGACGTTTGCGGTATACATAAGTAGTTGTCATATACATATACATTTGCATATGCAGGATGCATCCAGACAAACATCATACTTGCGCGGGCAGGCAGACGGACAGACAGACAGACAGACACGCATACATACTTGCGTACATCCTCCTACATGACAAACACACTCACGCAGACACATACATGTGTGCTCACGTGCATACCTGCGCACATGCACTCATACTCACATCCACACATCCACCCCTAGCATACATGTATGCATGCGCGCATACATACGTATGCAGACACACATACATACATACATACATACATAAGTGCTTACGGCAGACATGCCCGCATACACGTGCACGCATTGACATATCATATGTAACAGTATATATCTACACACACATACACCTACATACATATGTAACATATGTGCATACATGCCCGCATTCGCACATACCTACATACATACATACATACATACATACACACCTTCTTTCATACGTACATGCGCACATACATACACAGATACATACACACATACATACATACATACATACATGCATGTGTATTTGTATATACATACGTATTTACACATGGGCACATGTACGCAATGTACAGAAGTCATGCTGCTGATACTCTAAGTGTCTGTTTGTGTGCAATCACTTGTGCCGCATGCATGGAATCAGAATGCGTGTGCGTAAATGTGCATGTGCATGTATGTATGTCTGTGTGTGCGCACTTGATACATACACGCCTTTAGAGATTGTGCACGCATGTACTGGTACATGTATATGACAAGGCCTTGCGCACCTGTGGACACCTGAAGTACCAAGCTCTTTACACCCTAGATCGTCTGGATCCTTTCATATCCTTTCACTTGGCAACCTTAACTCCCAAAATTCGAAACACCTGAACCCTAAGCTAAGCTCTAAGCCCAGATAAGCAGGTGAGCAGTGGCAGCGCTCCCTTGACCTCTTCGGCGAAATGCGTGGTATGAGCTTGAAGGCCAAAGCTCGGGTTGCGGCCTTCGGGGTGAGGATGCCGAGTTTACAGGCGTCCACAGGGATGCCAGCATCCAACTTTTGTCGAGCTCCCCGCAGGATCAGGTGGGGATGGCACTGCCTCGTGACCATTGTCGTAACCTCGTCATCAGCGTGTCGTCCTCCTACTCCTCATCCGAGTCCCCACCTTCGTCGTCATCTCTGTCAACTCGCCATCAGCCTTGTCTTGATTCGCATCATCATGTTGAGGGTCCTGGCCATATTCACGTTCACGCTCTTCACAGTCGTATCCTTGTCTCAGTATTCGTCGTGGGTAAATGCAGTCTCGATCTCGCGATGTAAGTTTTCGGACGTAGACGTATGCGCAATCTAAACAACGAGAAACGGAGAATATCAAAAGCTATGAAGATCGTGGTGACAGAGTACTGGCAGTGGCAGTAGCAAGCTGTTTTTTGTTCATGCCGCGGCTCCTGTTCAGTTCTGAGCATTGAGTGTTGAGTCTACCGCTGATGATGTTTACTTCTGCATGATCAAAACAACGACGGTCCCAGCCCCATGCCACAAAAGTCGCACGTTCCAACACACCCACCAGAGAGGCTGATGCCGTGTCCTACGGAGCTGCCATAAAAGCCTGCGAGAGCCGCTGGGCGTATGCAGCCCTAAAAGCTTCCATCAACGCGGCAGTTGCTGAAATCCTCGGGCTCGACAGCTTTAAGCCCCCGACTGACAAGACATCTTTGGGTTTCTAGGGTACTCAGCACATTCACACAGTGTGGGGTCGCATCACCCAGTAAGTGCAACAGTGTACACGATAGCGGCGGTGCAGATCAGAGATTCAGGATTTGAGTCCAGGCACAATCCGGGAAATGCCTAGACATGATGTCAGGAATCCCATATCAGAATCCTGGGTGACAAGCATGTGGAGCCCGAGCCCTTGACGCGGACAATAGGGCAGACCGAAGCTCCTGCTATCTTTCGGGACCTTGAGAATTGCCTAAACTAGTTCGGGGGTCCTTATTGTCATCATAGTGTGATACACCCCAAAACCCTAATCTAATTATTAAGGCCCCTTTTTCAAAGCCAGTTGCAGCTTCCAGAATCCTGAGATTCAAAACCTCCCGAGATGGTCAGCACTGGGAGCTCGCGCTCAGCTTGCTGGCAGAGTCGGAAGCAAGGCCGCGCCGGTTTAGTCTTTTGAGTCACCATGTGAGTTTCGGGGTTCAGAATGGCTTGCTTTTCGTTTCAGGCTGTGGATGGAAGCTCTCGGAGCTGGTGTCTTGTAAGGCTTCCAGCTTGGAAGCTGAACCTGAGTCCGAGCTCAGAGCTCATCACGAAACCTTGGGCCGGAAAGTGCAACAGAGCCTCAGTGTCTGGGGTTCTTGTTAGCTGCTAAGGGAAACTTATTGAAACTACCACAATAATGTATGTATCATGTACATGTTAGATCTGTGTCAAAGTGGGGTAACATTTTACATGTTTATGGGTACTTAAACCCAATAAGGAATAAAAACGTAAATCTTTATCCTATCCCAACCATGAACTCGAGATGATGGTCTTCCTAAAAGTTGCTTAACAAGAACCCGAGTGCCGGAAGGTCCTTCCAGCCCGACCTGATCGCCTGCAGCGCTGCTCTGAGTGCCTGCGAGACTCTCATCTGCTCCTAACATAGGGGCAGAATTAGATGAGGGTTTGGCAATGAATTATTCCATAGTTATAATAAAGGAACCCCCAACCCTACTCTAATAATTAAGGCCCCCCTACATTACTTTAAAGTTCACCGATCTTTGGGGGTCCTGGGCTCAGGGATCTTCAGGGTGTTGAGGTTCAACCTGGTCCCGTAAACCCGAAAGGCTATGCTTGAACTATATGTAAATCTACGAACTAAGCCTGGCTTTGCAAGTTCAACACTACAGCCGAAGCCCTGAAGCTAGAGGCAAAGAACCGAAAGCTCGAAGCCATGCCCTGCAACTCCCGGAAGCAGTATCCCTTTTGGGGTCCCTATTATAATACGGCACCTAGTATATTTAGGGTACCCAAAAAGGGACCATAATTTTGAGAACTACCCATATAGTCCAAGAAGGAAAGGAGCGCAGTGGGAGTCTGCCTTGAGCCTGCTCTCGGCCTCTCGGCTTGCGCTTCCTTGGGATGTTTTGGGAGATTTGGGCGTGGCGGCTTGTTTTTTTGACGAGTCTTTGGAGCTTTGGGCGGTTTAGGTTTTGGGGAGCTGGGGAGTTGGGGACTTTGAGCATGCCTGGAGTTTTGAGGGTTTCGTGCGAGACTCCCCTCTTCGATCCTTGAGCCGAGTCGACGACACCCTTTGCAGAGACTCCTTGACATACTGATGTATATATATATATATATATACATATATATATATACATATATATATATACATATATATATATATATATATACATATATATATATATATATATAGAATGTTCATGGTCTGGGAGGAGATGGCCGAGAGGGCGCTGACCATGGACGTGGTTGCCTGCTCCGCGGCGATCAGCGCCTGTGAAAAGAACAGCCGCTGGCAGGACGAGGGCGGTGAGGGCAAGATTCTCGGTGGAGAATCTTTGGTTTCGGTGTCTCGGATGGAAGGAGGCTTAGGCTGAGACCCTGCCCTGCACGCAAATGATTGACGCAGGAAGGACTGCAACTGCTGTCCAACTTCCAGTACAGCTGCTCGCAACACATTTAGACAATCTATGACTCTTGCTTTCCTCCGTTTTGGAGGGCTCAGCCCGGAGCGCAGGTTGTACCTGATTTCATGGTCTGTTGAACAGCAGCACTTGACGTTCAGCTTGGTTAGCCGGATTCGTCGGCCCTAGTTTCTGTCAATTCGAAGATGCGACCCCTTCCAGAAACCTCCTTCTAGGCCCGATCAGACCACAGGCTATGGGGAGGGCGATCGGATCAGCTACAATGCGCTCATAAGCGCTTGCTGCAAGGCAGCGAGGGGCGGGGGCTGAAGAGAGCGGCGCAGATGAAGTTGCGCTCCAGGCTTCAAGGTTGAGGGTTTGGGATTTCGGGCTGCCCAGGGACGTTTAGGGTAAGGGTTTAGGGTTCGTGGTTTCGGGATTCTGTTGGTCTGTGGGATTGTGGTTTAGGATTAGTCAGGCAGCCGGGCCACAGGGATCAACAGAAAGTGTTAGGGATCGAAAAGATTGTTTGATTCAGATCAAGAAGCTTGCCATGGGCTTATCTTCGCAGACACTGCAGGGAGAAGAAGTATTGCATGGGGGTCGGTAGACATAGTCTTCCAAGCAAAGCTGATCACTGCCGTCCTCTTGTGCGCCCTACCAACATGACCAAATGTTCCGCACGTTAGGTCTTGCAAGTTTGCTGGAGCTTATTCAGGAGCCCTGGCGACGATGCAGAAGTTCAGACTAGCCTGAACACATGGGCTCCACCCTGTCTTCGAAGATTGAGGTCCACGTCGACGGCTGTAAGCATATGACTGAGATCTAGTAGACCCGTCTTCCAACGTCCCACAAGTCGCCTGAGAAAGGAATGCCCCTGCGACCCCAAAGATCCGTAAACAACCCGGCCCCCCACCCCCGCATCTCGTGCGAGGGTCTTGTGGCAAGCATCGCCCTCGAGCTTCTGGAGGAGATGGACCACCTGTGGACAAGGCTCCACAGGGCTTGGGGTTATCAGGTGCACGTAGCTTTGATTCACGGTATTGGATTTACAAGGGTTCTGCGAGCCTTCTTCAGATTTTGCTTAAGGAGTCATGTTGTTCTAAAGCGGGCACCAGCACAGAAGCCATGTCACTGAATTTCGCGGGCCCGAATATCGATCGTCGCGAGAAGCTCAATCCCCAAAATGCTTGCTGGGTTCATGTTCTTGATGGTCTGAGATTGCATCCTCCTCAGATAATTCCGAGCTGTTGCACTCTTCTCTTTGGGCTTCAGGAGCTTAGGGTCAGGGCCAGGGCGACCGGTTCTTCAGTTCATCCGCCGAGGCCGGATGGTGTCACCTTCGATGTAACGATCCGCGCACTTGCCGACCTCGCAAAATGGCAACGTGCTCTCGCTCTCTTCGAGGACTTTGCGATCAAACAGTCTCGTCCAAACTGTAGTCTGCTCGCATATCCGTCCAGCTTGCAGCTCTGAGTACCGAAGGTCGCACAACCAGCTGTTAGTGACACCTGCTTTCACGAATCCTGGCTCTGCTTCTGCTAGGAGATGGTCTCCAGGGACGTGCAAGCCGATGCCATCGCCTTGAGCGCGGCCATAGCAGCGTGTGCCCCGTTACAGAAGCTCATTGGGGAGCTTCGGTTCGCGTGTTGGAGCAGATTGAAGCTCAGTACCGTCTTTGGGGGCTCTAGTTGGCACTGGTCTCGAAGAGAGCCGGGAGCCGGCACGAGATGCAATGAAAAACCAATGCCAGTCCCCGAATCGAGCCGAAACCGGGGAACCTCGAGGATCTTGGCTGGAAGGGGCCTTGGCAACGAGCGAATCTCAGGCGAGAATGCCGCGAAACAGCCTTCTGGCCTGCTGCCGCTCTTCTCGGGTTTAGAAGAAGGCCTGCGAAGGGACTTGTGCGTGTCCCTTTGGAGCCCGGGCCAAGGATCTGGAGGTTTCGGATGGCCTCGTGAGGGGTCAGCCGGGGTGAGGTGTTCCATTCCCACGAGCTATGGTTTCGCAGCCATGGAGTTATTTTCACCAGTCACTAGTGCTCATCCTCACAAACTCTCCCTACTGCACATTAAGATGGAATACTAGCGAGCTTGGCGCAGAAGGCCATCATTCGGTACTCCTGCATCTTGAGTGTCACAGTGACCACGGAGGGTGCGCGTGCACGTAGCGCAATCCGACATGGCCAAGTAAGTCCTTTATTGAACATACTTCACAGGCCCTCTGAACGGCGCAGAGTCTCAACTCAACCCGCGGCCCCCAGACATGAAGCGACTTGAAGCGGCTTCTTCCGCTCCGGAAAAGGTGGGCTCCATGCGATCCACCGCGGCTTTCGCACCACCAACGAAGAAAAAAAGGGGCCGGGGCGGAGGGTCGAAGGATGTCTCCGCAGGGTTAATTGACCGGTGTAGCTTGGCGTGCTTTTGTGTATACACACACATACGTTTCCTTTATTTTTGTAAGCATACACGCACAGATGTTCATATACATGTACGTATGTGCATATGGAACTGTGTGTGTGCTTGCGTGCCTTGCTTTCTTTCGCTCTTTCCTGGGTCGAAGCCGTCTTCATTTCTGTCAACGAGGATTCTTTCGACTCCGATTCCTTCAACCAGGGTTTAGGGTTTACTAGGGTTTAGGTTTTAGGGTTGAAGGTTCTTGGGGGAAAGTTGAAAGAATCTGTTTGCCACCTTTGGGCTGTTTCCTGTGCTCTCTGTCTCTGTTTCGCCCTCCCTCCGCCTCTTCCTCTCTTCGCTCTTTCTCTCTCCCCCTCGATCTCTCTCTATCTCTCTGTCCTGCCTCTCCCTCTCCCTCTACACATGCCCACGAACACATACGGCATACTTGTCTTTTGATATATGTACTTTTTGCCTACACTTATCTGTTGAATCATACTTATGCACACACACACACACATGCATGCTGGCTTGGAAATTCAATAAGACATGTGCTGAAGCGCAGGCTTTAGCTCGAAGCTGAGCGTGCCGCAGCAAGCTCCTGACATCCTAAGGGACTCGCCCATCATCAACGTGCGCTTGGCCATCGGGGCTGCTTTTGGCTTCGTGAGGCTCGCAGATGCCAGGCCCGGGCCGCCGTTTAGTTTAACTCCTCTTGGCCGTGGGGACTTCGGACCATCGATATTGCACTGCTGTGACCTGCTGAACGACTGCCGTCTGCATGGCCCTGTTCGAGCCCGAGCAACTGTCCTAAAGGCACAAACTCCTTTAGAGCGGCAAACTAGAGCGATGTCAGTTGTTTTCTTTGGTAAGCTGATACTAGTACGAGCGAAGGAACAACAAAAACATCGTAAGGGTTCACCCTCCCAACCCCCGGCACATGTTCTGGTGTGCAAGTTGTGTGCTGGTGGCGAGCTGTCTTCCGTTCGCCCTGCGTTTCAACCTGATAAGCAGCTCAGGGAATGTTCAAGCTGTTAGACACCACAGCAGAGCGCGGAGCTGAACTAAGCCGGCGTGGAACTCCAAGAGCCTCGAGAGTTGGGGAGTCCCGAAATCCGAGCTCGAAGCCCCACAAAACCTCAAGGCCCAAGACCCCTTATCGGAAGGCTGGCAAGCACTGCGGTCGCGCTGGAGGAGATGGTGGTGCACGGGAAGAAGGTGCTCTCTGTTGCTCATTTACCCGGATCCTCAGACCTTGAAGGAATCATGCGAGTTTGCTGCAGCACGACCCAGCAACAAGCATTGCCCACAGTGTGTATATCTTGGTGTCACTTACAGGCAGGGTGCGTGTGTCTGTGTGTGTGTGGGTGGGTCAGGTATATGAGAACGACTGAAGCATTCAAGCCGAGCCTTTCGGGCTAATTTTTTAACTCACGCAACATGCACCATTCTTGCAAAAACCGGCGAAACCCACCGCTCCAGATTGCCTTGACTCCAGGTGCTCATTTGCCGGCCAAGCAGCTTCAAGCACGACGAGGGCGTGGAGGATCCGTTGGACTTGCTGCTGGGCCAGCACAAGCCCTATTAATCGTTGTCACTGTCGCATGCATTCTGAGATCCTGTCTTACCAGTTGCTGCTGCCTCTGCTGCCGAAGACGAACACAGACTCGAAGAATGTGAGATCTCACCCAAGACGGCTCAAGTCGTGCACCAGTCTATATACACAGGTGTCGAGCAGTGTAGTCAAGCAGATCGAAACTGACATCGGCGTTTCATCGTAGATAAGCATTCGAGCCCTTGCACATCGCCAACTACGCCTTCCGACTGCACCGAGGAAACGAGCTGTGCTTAAGCCTCCACCGCCTCCAATGCAACCGCCGCCTGCGCCGAAGGAGGAAAGTCAGGCCAGAGGGCCTCCGGCGAAAAAATCCTGTTGTGTGTATTGCCTGAATGCATGCATGCATACATGCATACAGGCATGCATACCCGAATCTGTACCCGTAGCCAGGCTCATTCCCATACCCATACATTCAGACACATTCAGACACCGTACATTCGTACACCATACATGCATGCATACACGCCGACATACATGCGTGCACACATGCTTACATGCGTACATGCCTACGTAGCATACATACACTCATGCATGCATACGTGCGGACAGACATACATAACACACGCACGGCTGAACACATGTGTGTACAGGCATGCATACATGCAGGGAGATTAGCCTCTTTCTCTTCTGACATCGGGTGTGCGGGGCATCGTGTGGGTGTTGAGGCGATCTTGGACGTCACTCCACCCCCACCCCCGATGGTGCCATCGACAGCGCCGCCGTCGGCAAATTGCCGACTCTGGATTGGCAACCTCCCAAGCGACTCGTCCAGACATAGTTCCAGAGTTTAGGGTTAGAAATCGCTTAAGAAGGGGATTTCTCTCGGAGTTGAGACTCGAAAGACAGACGTGCTTTTCGCAAGCGCCGCTAAAGATTTGTTGTCTGCCCGCGTGGGTTCTCTCGCTTCTCCTCGCTCCAATATCTGCTTACGTGAGACTAGGGAACTTAGGGAACTCCCAGCACAATTCTCTCCGCCCTGTGTAACACGATCTTTCTTCATCCACGAGGCCGCCATTCTCTAAGCCAGCTCAGCGACGACGAAGACGACGCGCAGAACGGACAGCCCAGCTCCAAGGACGAGGGGGAGAAGAAAGGGACAGGAAGCATGGGTGATGATGCATTGCTCTGGGGAGGGGGCCTGTGCCAGGAGATTGACATTTCAGGTGTTCTGGTTTTTGTTGTTGTATCGTTGTTGTCATTGTACCTATTGGCTTTGACCGGCGCAATGTGAGCACTCAAACTAAACAGAGTCTGTTGGGGTGAACAGGTCGTAGGACTCTGTTTCATACTTTTGCGTTTTGGTGTTCTACTTCCGGGGGGAGTCGAGCTGGAACTACTTTCGCCCTCCACGCATTTGCTTGACGATCCCCCAGGAAGGTCTAGCATCGTGTAAAGTAGACGGGTGAGCACTAGTTAGACCTCCCACCCCGAACCAGGATTGAAATCCTTACAGCAGGGCTGTCTTGTACAGTCGCATAAGCCCGATACCAGCCTTAATTCACATGCTACCCGACAAAACTCGCGAAAGAGACATGCTTTCAGGAGACCCGCCTGTTGCGGCACCTGGACCGTCATGTGGCTGGCCTGGCCATGTCTTTGCCTGGATACGATCTGGAAGAAGGCTTGATGGAGAATGATTCCCAATCGGATTGTTCTGAATTGACCGGCACAAGACGCCGTAGAGGCCCAGCATATCATGATGATTATCGCAGCATACTAAGTTGTCTGGAGCGCTACAGTGTATCCTCCTGTTTGCCGACAAGAGGCCCTCCGCTGAAGCGCATCTCCGTGCATCACACCGGCAGCACTTGGGCTAAAATGTGCTGTGAGGGGTTTTGGTTAGATCTCATTTGTTGCTCTCGCCGATTAAGGTGTACTATTATCATTGTTATTGGTGTTTTGGCAGCTATAGTATTCAGCATTCGTATTGTTTACCGTCTTCCAGAGCCCAGTTGTTGGACGTTGGGAGTTTCAAGGTCTGAGCATGTTGCGTGCCACGAGCTGCAAGGATTCGCCTTCGCCGATGTGCAGGGCTCCCAGGCGCGAGTTGCATCTGCTCTGGTGCTAGTGGGGCCTTGGTTTGTGTGAAACGGGGGCCTGCTGTGCCTTGAAGGAATGACGACACTCACAGAGTTCAGGCTTCGAATGCCAAGTGCCGTCCTGTCTGGGCATCCTGTTAAGCTGCAAGCGAGGCAGTGACCTCCAATTCGTTTTAGAAGCCTCAAAGCCCCAAAGCAATTAAACTTGAGCAACCAGGAAAAAACAGTAGCCTTTGGTCGGCATTTTCTTCACACCCCCTCTTACAATACAAGACTTTCGTCCTGTTAATGATACGATACTGCGGTGCAACTTTGCATTTCCAGGAGCGGGTGGAGCAGCTACTGACAGCCCTCGATGGCAGCTTCTTCCACGGGACCCAGGGGCTGTCCAGGGCCTTTGCGGTGTTCGTCCTCGGTTTTTAGGGCCTTCGTGGGATTGAGGGTCTCGGGCGCAACGGATGACACCGAAGATGCCCCAAGATCCAGACCTTGGCGCCGGGAGGGACCAGCAATTCCACAGACAAGTCCAGCCCGGAACCTCCAGAAGCATGAAGGAGACCACTTTCTGCGAACTGGTCACGAGTGCGATGTCGTGCTGTGGGTCCCGGAGAGACTCGGACAGGTATCAGCAACAGCAGGATGGATTCGGCTTGTCATCACGAAAGGTCTCCCCAGACAGCCGTTCGATTCAACAGCCAGAACTTTTTTAGGCTTAGCGGCCCAGCTTTTGGAGCTATTCAATTCCCCATCCCCTGGCAGGATTTCGTGCGTGACGTCGCAGCACACTTTTGGCCTTTTAGCGGCCCAGTGTTTCAGACCACCTTTAAATGGAAAAACGAGCCCCCAATGATGCTCATGATGCTCGCCTGCCGGCTCCCATTGCTAGGTACCCTCTTTTCAAGCCTTTGTCCCATAAAGTTCCCCAATGTTGATTGCATTACGAAGCTCGCCAAAATCCACAGTCTATTTGGTTAGCAGTGTTAATTTTGTAGAAAAAAAACGCCCATGCTGCAAGAAACCTCTGAAGGCCACGAATGTTGGAGGTTTAGTGGTTGGGCTGTGGTAGGGTCGTTGTCGGGTGTAGGCCTTGGGGTTCAAGGTGACGGCCTGTTCAGGGATTGCATGTAGGTTTGCACAGTCTCAGTCTCGCTTGGACTCGCTTGGCAGCTCCTTTGCGTGTTAGTGGTGGATTTGGGGAGGTGTTCGCACACGCACAGACAATATAGATATAGAAGCCTGAATGTTTGAACTTAGCAATACTATTCCTCGCTTTCCGTCTTGCGAACTATCGTATAGTTCACCTCAAAGCGGATTCCAACTAGTAAGACCCCTGTATTGTTTTACTTGCGTAGCAAGTATAACCTGCGAAGCAAGGATTGTTTTAGGAAGTCAGAAGCCAAAAAAAGAAGACTACCCAAATCCCTGACTTATCGAATCTACCTTTTCAGACCCTCAACGTGTTTTGCCCCGTCAGACATCGAAGATTGGATGTTCCTTCGGATACTTTCTCATTCTTGTGGCCTTATGGGGCTTAAGGGGCTGTCTGAACTAGTTTGCTTATCTTGGGTCTAAGGTCCTGCCAAACCAATTCAAATCCGCACGGCTCCTTCACCCCCACAAAGGTTGTGGTTTATGGGTAGGGCTTTCTGGTAAGCGTCAGTTCTCGCAGATTTTGTTTTGGAGAGTGCCTTCACCCTCCAAGGATCGTGCCCATCAGCACCGTCGACGACGTGCTTTGGCTCACCAATTCCCAGTCGATGCCGTGCCACCAGGCACGGAGGGGAAAAGGACCTTCAATTTCAGGATTCCAATGGTGCCTGCCGTGCGGAGGTTCGAGGACAGAGGAAGTGAAAGGGAACACAAGGGTACAGTTGGTTCGCACGGGTCTTGCCAGCATGCTAAAGGTCCTTGTGGCTACCCTTAACCTCTAAAGCCTAAAGCCGCAACCCGGAACCCTCCGGCCAACCGTCCCTTTTTCGGGCGACTTCAACAGCCACAGATCCTTGCACAAGGCCTGAAAGCGCGCAGGCCTTCCATGCTGCTAGAAGATGTTTCAAGAATCTACGACTGAGTAAGTCACTTTGCGACTGAGTAAGTCATTTTTGTTTGGGTTCTTAACCACACCGGTTGGGGTTATCCTATATCTAGCCCGCATTATGACGTACCTCCCACCCTCGAAGTGGCATCATCACGTCCGCCTTCCCTGACCACAGATCGGAACGAGGGTCAATCGAAGTACGCCTTGAGATTTAAATGACAGCCTTGACGAACACCTTGGCCCCAAGCTTGTTCTCTCCTTCTAAGAACCCGAAGCCGTTGAAGGCGTCCTCTCGCTGATGCCCGCGGTGGCCGAGCGGATGAAATCATCGGCGACCAGCGATGCAAAGGCCCGCAGCCACGACTAGGCAGTTTGGTGTTCCCTACTTACTGCTCGAAGCTGCCGACCAGGCCGTCATTGCTTGCATACCACATGAGCATTGCGACTAAGTCACTAAAATCCCAAACCCCACTCAGGAAGGCGCCGAGACGGCAGAGCGCCCGGCGAGGTCGGAGAGCAAACTAAACAATTATCATTTATCAGTGAGTTATCATGTTTTTGTCGGGCTGTGTGCTTCCAAGCTCCAACATCCAAGGGCCCCCATGCCTAAGACTGGCCGATACTCCAAGCCCCCCACTGCGGCATTCCTGCGGCGGTGCAGGGGTCGTGACGGCGCAGATCTCAACGAGCTGTGATGCCTTGATCATGTTGGGAGAGAGCATAGAGTGTTTTGTCCGAGCACGAGACTTCTCGGAGAGTGACCAATCGTATGCAAGGCAAATCATGCCTGTTTGCTGATGCGAGCTCTGATACTTCGTTGTCCTTCTGTTATTTCTACTCGGCCACTCCTCCCAAAGCTCTTACGTCTTACTTTCACTCACGGGTTGTGGCTGTGCGGATCAGTAGCGACTATGGGCTAGCAGATCTTTAATGAAGAAACCGGCTGACGAACCATGTGCTAATGCGGGGGGTTGGGACGAAGCAATGAAAACCAAAGCCTTGAAGTCTTGGCAGAGTCAGCTTCGCTCAGCTCCTCACTACAATGCACGAATTCAGGCCGGTGTGCCTCAGACTTTCCTCAGAAGCCGCCGATCGGGGTGCCTACGACATGGCTGTATACCGCCTCTTCCCCCTCCCTCTCTCTCTCTGCGTTGGATCTATGATGTCATCTCGTGGTCCATGAGGATCTGCTTAGGGCCGTTTAGGGTTAAAGCTGGCTGCTATGAGTTCGGCGGTCTGATGGCACCGGCCATGGGGAAGCGCGAGAAGGGAGTGCGAAGGTGCAGCCGCCGAGACTCGCTGTGAGACTTACACAGACTGTACTGAGGAGGGGCTTCGGGTAGGATAGGCCCAGTTAGCGTACTTTGTCTTTAAAAAACCCCCAACATCAACCGGTTTACCACCTTCCAAGATCCATCAAATATAGCCTCGCTACCCCACAAAGCAGTGCGGACCTGTACATCCCTGTACTTATGGCAGACATCCAAGTCACAGAAGGCTTAGTAGTTTAGTATAAGGGTTCCGGGGATTCGGGTGCATTAGACCTTGGGCTGAGCCTTCGCCGGAAGCGCGTAATTCGATCGCTTGCGACGACTTCCACTGGCTTGGGGGGGGGGGGGGGGGGGGGGCGGCTGGCAATGATAGTCATATATTACTATCCCCATAACTATTCTGAAGCCTGTCCATCAGTGCAAAAAGAGCACCCTTTTGAGGACCGAACTTGAATGCCTTGCAAAGGCATTCAGCATGAGCCTTTCATGTATGTGGGTGCCCTTTCGACCGTGACAGTTGCAGCGTAAGGGAGACTTCAAAGGTAGGCTTGTCATGTGTTTTCATGCGACTCTTCGGGTTCTTGGGCAACGGCTCAGGACCGGGCCCTCGTAAGCCCTGTTCCTCGAGTCCAGCCTCTCTTGGTCGTCGAAGTTAGCCCGGCAGAGCAAGAGCAATACTAGTACCAGATGGGGAACGGCAGAGCAAAAAGCTTATTGGACACGAGATATGGGGTTGAGGTTTTGCAAGGCTCAGGGTCTCAGAGGGTTTGCGCTTTGGGCTCCGTGGGTTTTGTCAACAGCCAAATGATACTTCGGAGAGGCACAGGCGGGAGTCTGAGGCAATATCGAGCAATGTCTTTTCTTGAAGCTGCTTGGAGCATGT